GTGTATATATATATATATATATATATATTATTTACATTTTTTATTCTTTCGCTGGTTAATATTCACAAAATTGTTAATTATTCCTATCATTAGTAATTTGTAAGAAGTTATGTTAAACTTATGATGTACTTCTAAAATGAGTCCAAAAATATTATTTTTCTTTATAAAATGACTATAAGGTACATTTCAAATTTTTTTAAAAGTATAATACTCCCTCACTTTTACTTGTCATAGTTTGACTTGACATGCCTATTAAGAAAATAATTAATGATATAAGTATTTTATCAAATCATCCCCTATTAAATGATGTCTTAAAAAATAATTTGGAAAATAAGTATTTAATCTTGAGGGTAAAACACAAAAAATAAATTATTGTCTTTCCTTGATATGTCAAAAGTGATAAGTAAAAATGAAAATTTATTTTAGAAATTAGTGACAAATAAAAGTGAACGGGAGAGTATAATTATATAAGGATCAAAATAAAATTTTACCATTAATTAAAGGGTCAAAAGTGCTATTATCCCTAATTGTTAATATGATTGAGAATTTTAAAGAATAAATATGACGATCAGCTACGTCATCATGCCACATAAGTGTCACGTAAGTTCCACATGGCACAAAGTTTCCCAGGTAGAAAGCTTACATATGAAGAAAGCTAATATTATCAACTGTACTTTATTTTAAAAGCTCAAGATTTTGAAGATGATTAGTTAATTTTTTAAAAATTTTTTAAAGAAAGACGATCAATTGATGAAGTTGGGATCAAACAATTTCTGTGATGAATATATGCAGTTGAAAAAGGAAAAACACTTTCAAAACTATTCAATAACTATACCAACCATGTAATCTATTTTTAATTTTTTTCATCTTTTGTTTTGTTTCAAAATAAAAATATATTGGATGTATTTACATATAATTTATGATTCTTTATTTACTCAGGGGCGGCTCAACGTAATTTGAGGCCTAAAACGAAATTTTAATTGAGGCCTAAAATCTATATAAATATCAAATATAGTATTTTATTTTTTAAAACTTTTTAAGTGCAAATTATTACTTGATATCTTTTCTTAAAATGTTTTTTTTCAAATATCGTTTTTAATTATTAATTTTAAGTAATATTTTATCAATTCAACATTGAAAAATATTCTTTTACTGAGGCAATCATTATATAAATTGTTAACATAATACTATAAGTAATAAGTTGACAAGCTTTACATAAAGATAAGAATTAGAACCATAAAATCTGATACAAGAAATTGATAACTTGGTATAAGTTATAACCCTACTTTAATATGTTTATGTAATACTTGAATATTTAAGAAGAAACAAACAAAAGAAAAATTGTAAGTCACTTTGTTGAATTTTTTCGACTATTAATTTATATTTTTGATAGTGTATTACTCTAACTTATCAAAAAAAATTAAAAAGAAAGTGCAAAAGAATTTTAAAAAGATAAATAATACGAGTGTTAGCGAAGAGAATGTAAACATACAAAATAATATTTTCTTAATTTCTTCTATTTGATTGGAGTTAAAAATAATAAAATAATATATATTTGTTTAAAATTATACTTTTTAAGTAAAAATAATTATTTTTTAATTAAAAAAATTAACACATAATTTTTTCTTGATGAAAATTTGAGGCCCCCAAAAATTGGGGGCCTAAGGCATGTGCCTTAAATTTATCAAGCAAGAGCCGGCACTGTATTTACTGCATACCTTATATATTTTTTATTTCTTAATTTAATTTTTTAATATTTGGAGGGATAAAGGCTAGTCCATGGTAGAATATTCTAGAGAATTGTGGGAATTTCTCAGGTAGAACCTAGAATATCATAGATATTTCTTGAAAAGTCCTTAGAAAATTCTAGACACACAGAGAATTCTAGAATAATGATTACTTTGTAGATATATAAGGACTGACATAATAATTATTATTTATATTGTAACCCCTAAGTTAGTATATAAATAGATGAACATCCATTTACAAATCATCCAACAAAAATCAAGTGACACAACAACATGAGCACAAAGTTTTGAAATACCAGATGAAAACTAGAGCAAAGACGAAGTGAAACAGTTCATTGGACTTATCATTCCCCACACACTGTTGTTATAAGGTAAATATTTTTCGCAAAGAATAAATTTATATTTTCGTATCATAATCTCTTATAAGTGAAATGAACATGATTTTAATTTCTAAAAAATTTGTGTCCCACACAAGTTAAACACCATAAAGGGCAAAAGGTACATTAGCTTGCAGATATCAATTGCAGATTAAAGCAAACATGGCTGATGAAGTGAAGCTTTACAGAACATGGTCAAGTCCATATGGTTTGAGGATCGTTTGGGCGATGCATATCAAAGGGATCGAATACGAAAACGTCTTTGAAGATTTAAGCCAGAAGAGCCCTCAACTCCTCCAGTATAATCCTGTTCACAAAAAGATTCCTGTACTTGTACACAAAGGCAAACCAATCTGTGAATCACTGGTGATTCTCGAGTATATCGATGAGACATGGAAGGAAACAACTCCTTTGCTACCTCAGGATCCTTATGAGAAAGCCATGGCCCGTTTTTGGGCAAAATTTGTGGACGACAAGGTAAAATCGATACCATTGATCTCAGCTCAAAAATAAAATTTATGTTAACTATTTTCTTGTATCTATATAATTTGACTTTAGGCCACTAATTTTATTGAGTTGTACCTGTATATTAACATTTGAGCAAAGTGATCAATCGGACAATAGGCATTTTCAGTTATTGAATTGATCATTTTCGTTGATATTTGTCTTTCATGATCTGCAGCTTCTGCCATCAGTATGGAGTGTTTTCACAGAAAAAGGATATGAGGCAAAAAAGGAAGCTCTTGTTCCAGCCGTGCAAAACCTAGAAATCATTGAAGAGCAATTGAAAGAGAAGAAATTTTTTGGTGGAGAAAGTATAGGATATGTGGATCTTGCACTTGGTTGGGTGGCGTATCTGCTTGATGTGTTTGAGGAGGTAATCGATCTGAAGTTGTTTGATGCACACAAATTTCCGCTCTTATCAGGATGGATGAAAAACTTTTGTGATGCTCCGGCAATCAAACAACACTTGCCACCACGAGACAAACTAGTAACCAGATTCCAACTGTTTCATGAAAAATTTCAGACAGCAAATTAAATGGTGAAATTGCTGCAGTATGTGTCTTATTATAGTTTATGGAAATAACAACAAGCTGATTGTGGAATTGTTTGTATGATCAAAGTACTTTTGGATATGCTTTCTGGACTATGTGTCATGTATCAGGAATAATAGAAGCTTTACCTGGCTAAATATCTTTAATTTTTATTAATAACTGAGGAAAATGTTGTATACTAAAGAAGAGATCGAGCCTATATCAACTTTGTATTTTTACAAAGTCTCGTTTACCCCTTCAAATGCTCTCCTATTCCGCTTTTTTCAAATGATTGCTAAAGTAACAACTCTCCATATCCATAGGCAACTTTGCTAAACCTTTTTTCGTTGTGCCTGATATTGGTAAAAAAATTGTAATGGTAAAATTATCTAAAGTGCAAATTGTAATAGTAGTATTAGTTTTGAACGGCAATTGTAATACTGGAAAAATTGCAATTTTATACCAATAATGAATGCAACATTTCCTTGTATCTCTTTATAATTTAGAAAATAATACTCCTCGTAGCATTTTCAAAGCGACTCTTAGTTACACTGGCATGCAAAGCTCTTCCCCAACCATACAAAGCAAGAAGTCCACATAATGAGACCACATTGCTTGTAATTATTTTGCAACATCTAGACATATAAAATCGTTTTGATATCTGGAAATGATACCGTTTCATGAGGTTTCATCTTTTCAAGGCATATGCTCAAACAACTCTCGAGCACTAGCTATATCATCCCATTTCTTACATACCCAGAAATCAAACAGCTTGCGTGCCCCTTCAATATCACCTTTCTTGAAAGATCTAGTAATTTTTGAGTTCCAATTGTACAATTTGTGTTCCTAAAGAAAATATGTGAAGCCCATTTGAGCCTTCTATACATAAATATAATACTACTACTTAATAAGTAAATGTTGATTTCAACCAGGGAAAGAAAAAAGGAAAGAGTAATAATTTGGATGAGTATACACACGTGTGTTTAACATGACAATTCACATCATATATGACATCGTATATGTATTAATTCTTGCGATATTGTACTATATTTATTTAATAACCTTCGATTAAATGAAATTTACATTTTTTATCCTGAATATTCACAAAATTGTTAATTATTCCTATAATTTAATTAGTAAGAAGTTATGGTAATAAGCTTATGATGTATACTTCTAAAATGAATCCAAAAATATATATTTTTCTTTATAAAAGGACTAATACGTACATTTATATTTTTTTAAGAAAGTTAAATATATTAAATTATACTTTCTCTATTCACTTTTATTTGTCACAGTTTGACTTGACATATCAATTGAGAAATAATTAATGATATAAAAGGGATCGTTTGGTAGAGTGTATAAGAATAATGCAAAATAGGATGCATTAATAATGCTTGCATTAGTAGTGCTTGTATTATTAATGCTTGCATTAGTTATGCAAGCATTATTTTTATACACTGTTTGATTTGATGTATTAGAAATAACAAATCTTGCATAATTTCTATTTAAAAATATATGTTTACAAAAATATCCTTCACACTTTATTTATTTTTACACTTCTTTGCAACAAAGTTCTTTGCTGAAACATCATTAACTCCTCTTCTTCTTTTCAAAAATAATATTAAATAGTTGTACTATTTGAGTCAAAATATTTTTGTGAAAAGTTTGGCAAAGAATTTTTTTTATCAAATTTATCGCCACAATAGTAATTTTTTTTATTAAAGTATGTTGAAATTAGATTATTAAAAAAAAAAAGATATTTAAGAGGCCATAAAGTCCATTAAGACATCAACAAATTAAAAGACATTGAAAAACAAATAAAAATAAACACATATGACAAGAAAGAAAATGAAAAGAAGAGAAAATGTTAGGAAATGTTTTAAAAAGGCTATGAGGGTAGTTTTGTAATTATTTAATCTTAATGCAAGTGTTAAATGCTATGTATTACTAATACCTAGAATTACTTGGTATTAGTAATACACAACTTAATACACAATGGAATGTATACATGGCAAGAAAAAGTGTACCAAACAAGGTACTACTAATACACACACCTAATGCATGCATTATATTTCCTAATACACTCTATCAAACGACTCCTAAGTATTTTATCAAATTATTCCCTATTAAATGATGTCTTAAAAAATGATTTGGGAAATAAGTATTTAATGTTATGGGTAAAACATGAAAAAAAAATTATTGTCTTTTCTTAATATATTAAAAGAGACAAGTAAAAATGAAAAATATATTTTTGAAATAAGGGACAAGTAAAGTGAACGGATATAATATAATATAAGGATCAAAATAAAATTTTACCATTAATTTAATTAAAGGGTCAAAAGTGCTATTATCCCTAATCGTGAATATGCTTGAGAATTTTTTAGGAATAAATATGAGGATCCGCTATGTCATCATGCCACATAATATTTGAGTTTTTTTTTTATAAGAAAAGGCTAGTCCATAGTAGAAAATTCTAGAGAATGTGGAAATTTCTCAGGTTACTTAGAGAGTTCTAAGAAAATGACTACTTTGTATATATGTAAAACTTATATTATAATTATTATTTCTATTTTAACGAGAAAATGACCAAAAGCCCCTTCAACCTATAGCCGGATTCCCAATTACACATTCATACTTTATGGGGGTCCTATTACCCCCCTGAACATTTTTTTTTACTAATTTTCTCACCCTTATTTGCTGACATGTCCAAGAAGGTGAGATCAACTCCCTTAGGCGCGTAAGAACAGAAAATAAAACGTTAAAAGCTGAAGAAAACTACACATGTGAGTCCAAATCAGCTATATTAAATCTCCAATGGTATAATCTCATCTCTCCCAAAATCAAACTCTCTTTTTCTTCCTTTTTTTCTCAATTCTTCTAATAGTTGACAAATCTCCAACGGTATATTCCTTCATTCTCTCCCAAATCAGCTTAAAACTTGAATTTACTTGTCAAAGCATTCAACTGTAGTTTCAATTTCGAAAAAGCTTGAAGCTTTAGGACTTGTAATTTCTCTGATTTCATAGTTATGGTTCAAAAAATTTCTTCAATGGAATGCTATTATACCAAAACCCAGTTATTGCTCTTCATTTTTTTGTCAATTTCATAACCCTAATCAAACACAATAATCAATATCGTTCAAAATCGCTAGTAAAGAACTAAAAGAACTAACCTTTACTTAGAGAAAACTTCGACCCAACAAACGAAAAAAGCTAAACGAACCTTCCCCAACCTTCCCAGCAAACTTCGATTGGAACGAAATCTCAGATCGAAGAGAATGGGGTGAATTTGGTCAGATTGAAAAAAGGTTAGGGTTTAGAGAAAGAAAGAGGAAAATGAAAAGATTAAAGGAAATTCGTGGGTTCTGGGGTCCAGTCATTATGTGGCAGCGCGTGTAAACAAACATTTAATTATATCTGATTTATGTGGACACGTCAGCAAATAAGGGTGAGAAAATTAGTAAAAAAAAATGTTCAGGGGGGTAATAGGACCCCCGTAAAGTATGAGTGTGTAGTTGGGAATCCGGCTATAGATTAGGGGGGGTTTTTGACCATTTTTTCCAATTTTAACTCCTAAGTTAGTATATAAATAGATGTGAGCACAAAGTTTTGGAATTACCAGATGAAAACAAGAGCAAAGACCAAGTCAATAGAAAAGACGAAGTGAAACAATTCATTGGACTTCTCATTTCCACACACACTGTTGTCATAAAGGTAATTAGTCCAAACTACAAATCAACTTTAGCTTAAAATGTAAGAAATTATAATTTCCAGGCTTTGTAACGCAATGGCTGACATCAGAGTTTGGCTTGAATTTTAAAATATTTGAGGAAGAAAATACCAAAGATTTGAATTTTAGACGTAGACATAAACATTAGTCTATTAAGATAGAGTCATGATTAGAAGTTTTGGGTTCTAAATTTGAGAAATATTTCATTAATAGTAGGGTTTGAATCCATAACTCTAGCGTAGAAAGCATTTTCATGGCCCTTTCCTTGCAACTGAGCCATCAATCAATTTTAATATGGATTCATAAGTTAATATACATATATATTTATTTAATTTTCTAGTACAAATATAAAATCCACAAAAAAATTACTAAGTTCGTCCAAACTCACGAACCCCACCTAGCTCCGCTCTTGTGTATTATACATCCCCTCTGTCAAAGTAAAGAGCAACGTGAGTGGTCATTTGGACTTTTGCCCCTATTTTGTGTGGATCATTAACTAACTTATATTTCTTTACGACAAATAATTTTTTGCAATAGTAAATTTATATTTTCATATTATAATCTCTCATATAAGTCACATGAACATGATTTTAATTTTTAAAAAATGTGTCCTGCTAAGCTTAAGTTCAATAGCTAAACTTTTATTATAATTTCTAAAATTTCCTACTATTTAAAAGAAATTACAAAAATCTCCTCTCGATACATCCTTATCCCTTCTTGGATAATTTCCTCTATGTATCCGTAGGTTTTCTAATGTATACGAGATCCTATAAATTTTAGAGATTTCTGTAGTTCGGAAAAGATTAAAAATAAGATATAAGTAGCTCTTAACACAGTATGATTTATGTAATTTTTATTAATTTAAAGAGTAAAATATACAGTTTTGTGAGTGTATAAATAAACATTAGCTTGCAGATATGAGTTGCAAATTAAAACAAACATGGCAGATGAAGTGAAGCTTTACAGGACATGGTCAAGCCGATTTAGTTTGAGAATCGTTTGGGCACTACATATCAAAGGGATTGAATACGAAGCCATCTTTGAAGATTTAAGCCATAAGAGCCCTCAACTCCTCCAGTATAATCCTGTTCATAAAAAAGTTCCTGTACTTGTACACCAAGGCAAACCAATCTGTGAATCACTCGTAATTCTTGAGTATATCGATGAGACATGGAAGAAGGAAACAACTCCTTTGCTACCTCAGGATCCTTATGAGAAAGCCATGGCACGTTTTTGGGCAAAATTTGTGGATGACAAGGTAAGATCGATACCATTGATCTCTGTTAATTTCAGAACAAGTAACTATTTTCATGTATCTATATAATTTGGCTTTAGACCACTAATTTTATTGAGTACATTAACATATGTATCTATATAATTTGACTTTAGACCACTAATTTTATTGAGTTGCACCTGTATATTAACATTTGAGCAAAGTGATCAGTCGGACAATAGGCATTTTCAGTTACTGAATTGATCAATATTTTCGTTGATATTTGTCTTTCATGATCTGCAGCTTCTGCCATCAGTAACGAGTGTTTTCACAGAAAAAGGATATGAGGCGAAAAAGGAAGCTCTTGTTCCAGCAGTGCAAAATCTAGAACTCATTGAAGAGCAATTGAAAGGGAAGAAATTTTTTGGTGGAGAAAGTATAGGATATGTGGATCTTGTACTTGGTTGGATGGCGTTTCTTCTTGATGTGTTTGAGGAGGTAATCGATCTGAAGTTGTTTGATGCACACAAATTTCCTCTCTTGTCAGGATGGATGAAAAACTTTTGTGATGCTCCGGCAATCAAACAACACTTGCCACCACGAGACAGACTAGTAACCAAATACCAACTGCTCCATGAAAAATACCAGACGACATCAAATTAAATGGTGAAAATTGTTGCAGTATGTGTCTTATAGGTTATGGAAATAACAATAAACTGATGTTTGTATGATCAAGTACTTTTGGATATGCTTTCTGGACTATGTATCATGAAAAATACCAGACGACATACATGATTGCTAAAGTAACAACTCTCCATACCCATAGGCAACTTTGCTACACCTTTTTCGAATTCCATGATACTGCATTCCTCCATGGCATCATATGAAACAGGTGCAGAGCATCTTGCAATCTTCCATTCTGCAGATAACCACTTAGCTTTCTCTTGTTAATATTCACAAAATTGTTAATTATTCCATCATTTAATTCGTAAGAAGTTATGTTAAAGCTTATGATGTACTTCTAAAATGAATCCAAATATAATATTTTTCTTTATAAAAGGGCTAAAACGTACATTTTATATTTTTTTAAGAAGTTAAATATATTAAATCATATAACATATAATATAAGGACCAAAATAAAATTTTGCGATTAATTGAAGGGTCAAAAGTGCAATTATCCCTAATTATTAATATGCTTGAGAATTTTTTAGGAATAAATATGACGACTTGTCACGTCATCATGCCACATAAGCACCACGTAAGTTTCACATGACACAAAGTTGCGAGAGATTATATTGGAAGAAGACTAGTCCATAGTAGAAAGTTCTAGAGAAATGTGAGAATCTCATGTAGAAACTAGAATATCATAGATTTTTTACCTGAAAAGTCCTTAGAAAATTCTAGACACGTAGAGAATTCTAGTAATATGACTATTTTGTAAATATATAGGAATTTAAATAATAATAATTATTTACACTTTTATCCCTAAATTAGTAATATAAATAGATGAACATCCATTTGTAAATTCATCTCACAAAAATCAATCAAAATTCCCTACACATTTCTTCCTAAAATTCTTACACTAAAGCACAAAGTTTTGGAATACAATAGAAAAGACGAAGTGAAACAAGTCATTGGACTTGTCATATCCACACATACTGTTGTGATAAGGTAATTAGTCCAAATCATCTTTAGCTTAAAATATAAATAAAATTGTGAGTGTATAAATAAACATTAGCTTGCAGATATCAATTGCAAATTAAAACAAACATGGCAGATGAAGTGAAGCTTTACAGGACATGGTCAAGTCCATTTGGTTTGAGGATCGTTTGGGCGCTGCATATCAAAGGGATTGAATACGAAGCCATATTTGAAGATTTAACCCAGAAGAGCTCTGAACTCCTCCAGTATAATCCTGTTCACAAAAAGATTCCTGTACTTGTACACAAAGGCAAACCAATCTGTGAATCACTCGTGATTCTCGAGTATATCGATGAGACATGGAACGAAACAGCTCCTTTGCTACCTCAGGATCCTTATGAGAAAGCCATGGCACGTTTTTGGGCAAAATTTGTGGATGACAAGGTAAGAAACTGTTGATCTCTGTTAATTTCAGAACAAAAATATTTTGAGAAGATCTGGTAACTATTTTCATGTATCTATATAATTTGACTTTAGGCCACTAATTTTATTGAGTTATATCAGTAGATTAACACGTATCTATATAATTTGACTTTAGGTCACTAATTTTTAATTTTATTGAGTTGCACCTGTATTATTAACAGTGATCAGATAATACTGGTGAATATACTAGGACAATAGGCATTTCCAGTTATTGAATTGATCATTTTCATTGATATTTTGTCTTTCATGATCTGCAGCTTCTGCCATCAGTATGGAGTATTTTCACAGAAAAAGGAGATGAGGCGAAAAAGGAAGCTTTTGTTCCAGCAGTGCAAAACCTAGAAATCATTGAAGAGCAATTGAAAGAGAAGAAATTTTTTGGTGGAGAAAGTATAGGATATGTGGATCTTGCACTTGGTTGGATGGCGTATCTTCTTGATGTGTTTGAGGAGGTAATGGATCTGAAGTTGTTTGATGCACACAAATTTCCGCTCTTATCAGGATGGATGAAAAACTTTTGTGATGCTCCGGCAATCAAACAACACTTGCCACCACGAGACAAACTAGTAACCAAATTCCAACTGCTTCATGAAAAATTTCAGACAGCAAATTAAATGGTGAAATTGCTGCAGTATGTGTCTTATAGTTTATGGAAATAACAACAAACTATTTGTATGATCAAGTACTTTTAGATGGTTTTTGGATTATGTATCAAGAATAATAGAAGTTTTTCATGGCAATATATTTTTAATCTTATTAATAATTTATGAAAGTCTCGTCTTAATACTCCTACGTATTAGATTATGAACCAAACAGTATCACATTAGTTTAAGAGTAATATTTTAAATATTAAACTTTGGAATAAGACAGATAAACTATTGTGAAGTCATCAATTACACACCTAAACAATGTGTCCTATCATTGGGTAACTGATATTCACAATAGTATCGTAATTAAGTTCAGTAGAAGCATCTGTTATTTGACCAAGAACAAACTTGGTCATATCGTATGATAATTAGGAGTGAAACATATATATGTACAATGAACCTTCTTCGTCAGAGACGGAGTTAATATACAGTCCCGCTTTGGAGACTTCCCTTCGGGACAGGTAGGATTTCATAAGGTATGACAACTGGTGCAGCTTTGGCAAAAATGTTTGGCCGGCAGTTGGCCAACAAAGCTTTAAATATTCAATCTGCCCCTTTGGTTGAACTAAAGAAGATTTAATAATAGCAAGTTTACCTTTTGCCATTTGTCGATATTTCCATTTTTTAGCCTTCAATATTTCATCTTCCTTTCGTCATGACTGGAACTAGTCATTAACTTATTGAAAGCATTCCATATCTATCTCTGAGTGAAGTAGTTCATCAGTCACTGTAAGATTACGTGTGACATTAGGGCAGGAATTGACCAAAACCATAGATAGTGTCGAAGTGACTGTTTCAAACTTGCATAAACAAGACTTTCTTCCAAGTATCTATTCTCACTCTTACTCGCCTTGAGAAGAAGATGGCTTCTTTTGCAATCGAGGACTTCGTTGGAAATGGATCTCTGCAAGGACTTCTACCAAAGCTGCTGGAGGAAGGCTGGGATGATGTACCAACTTTGAAGACTATGAATGCAGACGATATGAACGAGTTGATGACTCAACGACAAAAGGTTCTCTTTATTGATAATTCACCCTTTCTTGTTATATCTCGAGAAAATCATCTGGGGTTCATCTTCATATAGTTTTGCAAATCTGTGTCAACAAATGAGTAACTCTTGTGTTTCCCTAGATAATATGACATATCACAAGAATTAAGTTAACAACAGAAATAAGATAATAAAGCTTCTATGTGCTTAATCAAAAGTCCTAAACTCCTCCATTCCATTTCTATGTTATTTGCTCAAATTAAACAATGGACAGAAATTTGTCAGGCTAGTTTTCTGTACATCTGAAAAGTTACAGAAAAACAAAATAAGATATTGCTCTGATGATTTATTTATTTCCTAATCTAGGATGCACTGGAAATCAGGTCATACTTGCATAATCGTGCACTGATGCAATATGCGGATACGTTTGAGGAGTCTGGGAAGTCTCTTCCTGAGCTTCTTAAGCTAACCAAAGTAGATCTTACTACAGTGTATGGAATGAAAAGGGGCCATGTTGCCCGCTTTACAGACAGAACTACAACTTCTGGGGGAGATGCTTTGCCAGAAGCATATAATCTCCAAGCGAGCAGAAGAACTGCCTTGAGGAATGAGAGTCTTTACAAGGACATTTCTGCTGTCACCTCCAGGAAGCAGACTATGACAAGATCTCTTGGAAGAACCAACACAGCTTATGATGTATCCCTTGAACAATCAATGGCTGATTTCAAAATTAAAGATGGACATGTTTTTAAGGGAATTGTAGCTTCAATGCCAGATGAACCTAGAGCATGTGGCTGTGTGCAGGCAACCCCAGTAATTGAGAATGTTGCTCCTTATTCCTCCATTGAGAATATCTCAGTTCAGAAACTAACACCAGAGTACAAGATTGGAACGGAGCGTTTGGTGAAATCAAAGAGTCCGCCAATGAAGGCTTCAGAGCTCTGGCGTGATAAACCAGCAGTGATTATATGCATTCGTCGCCCTGGGTAAAGCATCAAATTATTTCTGCAATTCAAACCTATAATTGATAAAAATCGTAGCTAAATTGGTATGCTATATCTTAGACGCTGACTCTTTTAGGTTCATAGACAATACTTGGTTAAACAGAAACAAAGAAACTTATTGCAAGAATTTCACAAGGTAACTCAAGTCAATATCTGCATAGAACTTCACCAAGAGTAGATGATCCAATAATCTGTGTGATTTCACTAAATTCTGATGCACTGATGAAGGATACAGTCTAGGAAAGATTTTTCCTTTAAAGAACGAGTGGTATTTACTTTTTCTAGGAAAGAAGATGAAATTCATTATTTATCTATGAGCAAGAATTAGTGTGTCTCATACCAAAAAGGCTATGGAAAACAGGTGCATCATGTGCAGAGCTGAAGCCCACCAACTCTATGCAAAGAAACCAATATTTGATGCGTTAGGGGTTCAATTATTTGCTGTTCTTCATGAGCAAATAGAAGCAGAGGTAAATTTGTCTACATTTTCTCTGACATTTCTTTGGAAGGACCTGGTTTATTATGCTGGGTTTTGTTATACAGGTGAAAGATTTCTGGCCTCGATACTGGGGTGGTGTAGTCCTCTTTGACAGAAGCATGGAATTTTATAAATCTCTGGGAGGAGGAAATCTTCTAAAAGATAAGTTCATATCAGGCTTTCTATTTAATCCTAGAGCTATTGCAAATTACAAGCGAGCAAAATCCATGGGGGTGGAGCAAAACTTCAGGGGTGAAGGTGAGATAAAAGGAGGACTCTACATTGTTGGCAGAGGGAAGAGTGGAATAGCTTATCAATTTATTGAAAGGAATTTTGGAGACTGGGCACCCCATGCTGAAGTTTTTGAAATCTGTCACCAGTTGCAGGTAACATTTCTGGCTTCTCTAATAAGCACATTATACAACTAAGTTTTAACTTTTGTTCTAACGAAATTTTCTTCATATATTCCAGAATCCACAGGGAAGTCAGTTAGAGTTGCCCCAATCAATACAGCAACAGGATTAGATATGGTTATTGCTTCTATGCAACATTCCCTGCTTTTGAATCTCAAGCTCAAGAAGCTATCTCTTCCAAACTTCCAACTGTTATGTTTCACTACCACAGCAGTTTTATTGTATGAATAGCATTACTGGTGTGTTAGAGTCTATTGAGACTGGCAATATATCTGGTACTTTTGAATAACATAAAGTAGAAGTGTCAATATGTAGATTGTACTCAATTAGATATGATTGATGGATGAAAAGATCCATAGAAAAGAAGCTCACGGTCATGATTCTACCAGTTATATTTCTTTTACTTGATGTATGTATAAACCCATACATGATAAGTGGACTGATATTTGAGAATTACATGGTTGGACTATTGAATTAAACGTCCAGTACATGATCATCCACAGCAAGAAATTTAAAGTACCCTTGACCTACCAAAAAAGAAATATAATAGTATACCTTTTTATGCATCACTATCTTTCTACTTCCAAATGAGCAAGTAGGCACACTACTCCACCGGAAAGAAACAGGCCCTTCAACGATAATGATCAAAATTAAAACAAATAAAGAAGAAAAGACAAAGTGCAACCATTTATCTGAACTACTGTCACAGCATAAAAGAGTTTCTAATGAAATACCTAATAATGAGTCAACAGAAATACACAGAAGTAAACAGCACTTGAGATGGCTCACAAATTCTATTACAGCAATTTTACCTTTAAAAAGTAAAGACTTACCAGATACGGAAGTCCTTAATAGTTTTGCATCTCTCCTGAAGTCGACTACTGCACCAATCCTGCAAATAAAGCTACAAACATAGTACAGGAGATATAGCTTGAAATCTCACATCTCTAATAAGCAGAAAGATATCTCACCTCCAGATTGTTTCCAAATGACAGAACCTTAATTTGCCCAATTGCAGGGATCTCTCCATCTTTTAAGTATTAGGAAGGACAACAAACTTTAATTACCAGCGGTCTCTGCAGCTACATGTCCCATCCTTGAACAAGTGAAAGCGATTTGCATCTCTAACTAGTATTTCCCTCTGAACAATTTTTGACACATACTTGGTCCAAGTGTGGCAATCTCCACAAACCCGTAGATTCTTCATTACTTGCAAAGGTGAACCTTCTTTTGTGTTCAACAATCCAAATGCTATAGCAAGTCTTTCACTATGCCCATAAAGCAAATTTATCTTCTCATCTTCACCGACATCATGCAAAACAAATTTTAAGTCAGCAACATAACCTTCCTTATCCATTGTTCTATTGAGGTCCTCTATGAGCTCATTGACTTGCTTGAATTGTTGAAAGGACCTATCACCAGTGCCAAAAATAAAAACTCTGTTACAAATCTCAATCCAGCTACATCCTGGGTCTTTCCTAAGTCCTCTAGCTTTCAAAGATTTTCGTATTGTTCTCACTTGGTCCCACTTCCCTAAGGAGGCATATACATTGGAAGCTAAAACATTATACCCAGGATCATCAGAGTTCAATTCAACAAGGCGTTCTACGACACGCTCAGCAGTCCCGGTATCTCCACTAGCTCGACAAGCACTAAGTAGAGATCCCCACATACTTGCATCAGGCTGCAGCGGCATAGAAAGGATAAAATCCTCTGCTTCAACCAGTAGCCCAGAACGTGATAAAAGATCAACCATGCAAGCATAATGTTCAATCCTAGGCTCAATGTTGTATTTTTTTCTCATTTGGTTAAAGCATGCACGACCATCTTGCACTAAACCAGAATGGCTACAAGCATATATAACGGCAACAAAAACAATATGATCGAGAACAGTACCCGTCTCCTTCATCTGCTGAAAAGATCTGAGAGCCTTCTTTCCTTCGCCATACATTCCATATGCAGAGATCATTGCTGTCCATGTCACCACATCTTTAATCCTCATGTGCTCAAAGACCAAGATTGCATTCTTTAAACTCCCAGTTTTAGAGTACATCTCGATCAGTGCATTTCCAACAGGGACTTGTGACTCCAAATTGAGCCTGATTATGAAGCCATGCAGCTCTTTTCCCTGTCTTTTGGCAGCAAGTAAGGAACACAAAGGCAGCGAACCTAAAATGGTAGCCACATCTGGCATGATTCCTTCCATTCTCATCCTACTGAGCATCTTTAAACCTACGTAACTTTCCTCATAATGGCTACAGGCAGCAATAATAGTATTCCACGTTACAATATCTCTAGTACTCATGATCTCAAATTGCCACACTGAATGCTCCATTTTACCACATTTAGCATACACATCTAGAAGAGCATTGCCCACAATAAGAGTGGAATCATATCCTCTCTTAATTATATCGCAGTGGAGCTCTCTTGCAAAATCCACGTCCATCAACTCTGTACACATTGAGAGTAGTGTCACAAAAGTGACAGAATCAGGTTGCAAGTCTATCCTCATCATCTTAAGCAGATCAACTGCTTCTTTATTAAACCCGTTCTCAAAATAACCACTAATCATTGAGTTCCATGAGACCAAATCCCATCTTTTCATGTTGTCAAAAACTTGCCTTGCAGCCACCAAATCACCACATCTTGCATACATGTTAATTATGATATTGCAAGCGGTTGTGTCACATTCGTATCTGTTTTCCAAAATATAGTCATGTACATATCTTCCAAATCTTAAATCCCCCATATGCCCACAAGCTTGCAACACAGAAGTAACTGTAAGCAGATCCGGCTCATATTCATAAACCATTTCTCGAAATAATTTGATGGACTCCTGATATAACCCCGAGTGAGAAAACCCACAAATTATGATATTCCAAGTGACAATATCTCTAAATATCATCTCATCAAAGATTCTCTGACAGTCCAACAACCTCTCAAACTTAAAGTACATTGAAAGCAGTCCATTACTCACAGCTATATCTCCCTTAATGCCACTCTTCTCCACCAACCCATGAACTATCTGACCCTGTTCAACCTCCATCAGACCCCCACATGCAGGTAAAACACTAGACACAGTAAAAGCATCAGCAGCAACACCTGATAACCGTCCCTCTCGAAAAGCTTCTAACGCCTCTTCCCAATACCCATTCGCACTATACCCTGAAACCAAACTATTCCAAGAAACCACATCTCTACTAGGCATTTTATCAAACACCTCACGCGCTCTCCCTAATTCGTTCATCCTCGAATACATATCAATCAAAGCATTACATATATACAAATCTGATCCAAACCCCATCTCCAAAACATCATTATGCACAATTTTCACCATTTCAAGATCCAATAAACTGCCACAAGAATTAATAATCGAAGGAAATGTATAATTATCAGGCTTAACATTTAATTTTCTCATTTGGGTATAAAAGTCTAATGCTTTAGACCATAACCCATTATGGGTCATGGCTCTAATGATAGTGTTCCATAAGTAAACATTATGTGTAGGCGAATTTATGCGGAAAATGGATAATGAAGAAACAGGGTCTTTGAACTGGGAGTACTTCGAAATGAGTTTTCCACTGAAGAATGTTGATTGATGCTGGCCTGAAACTACTATGAGAGAATGAACTTTGTGGAGATCAGTTTGGTTAGTAACAGAAGATAATGCTCTCAAGATTAAAGAATGGAAGCAATATTCGGTTCTTTGGCCTACAATGCCAAGCTTTATGGTCTTCATGGAAAAAAAAACTGATCTTTGGGATTTTTGAAACCAGAAGATTTTATAGTATTCTGGGTGTGAGTTGGCAGCTAAACCCCTCACCCAGGGGTGGCTCAACGTGATTGGGGGCCTAAAGCAAAATTTCAATTCGAGGCCTAAAATATAAACAAACTTCATATACGTATTTATTCAAAAATTATTTTTCTTACACTATTTAGATGTAAATTATTAGCATTTTAATATTGTTTTTTCAGTTATTAGTTTTAGGTAAGATTTTATCAATTCAAGATTGAAAAACATCCTTTGAATGAGGCAATTATTATATGAATTGTAACATGATTCTATAAGTAATAAGTTGACAACTATTAAATAAAGAAGTTGATGACTTGGTATACCCCATTTGAATATACTTATAGTAATGCTTGAAACTAAAATTTAAAAAGAAATAAAAAATAATTTGTAATTCACTTTGTTCAACTCTTTTCATTATTAATTCTTATTTTTAACAAAGTACAAAAGATGTTAAAGTGGGTAAAATAATATATTTTTAAAAAAATTATACTTTTTAGCATAAATATTCAATTTTTTCTATAGAAATTTTAACACATAATTTATTTTTTATAAAAATTTGGGGCCCCCGAAATTTGGGGGCCTAAGGCAAAAGCCTTATTTTCCAAAGCATAGAGCCGGCCCTGCCCCCACCCCACCATCTCACACTGATACCTCAAATTAAACAAGCCATAAAGTTTTCTTAATTTTACTTCGAAATTATTATTCTTATTGCATGTATCAAAATGTCTAGACTATAAACTTTGGTGATTATGTTGTTCAGTTATCGCACTATTTTATTCTTATTATTGTTCCATTCTTGTAAGTTCTACACTACTTTCCATCATTATTATGTTTTCTTGTTCCTTTTACTTAGATTTGCTTTACTTGAACCGGGATCTTACATAAACAACTTCATTACCTCCAAGAGGTATGGTAAAACTTGAATACATTGCCACAGGGAGCTACTGAGTATACTACAGCAAAATGCTTCATGTGTACAAATAACTGATACCAGTGCCTCAAGAGAAACATTCAATAGGTGATGAGGAAGCCACAAAGTTCAAGAACAACAAATAATAAGAGATATCAAACCATTTAGTTTCTCATTGTATTGTAATCACAAGAGTCAATCCTATGCTGTCATCAACTATTTACATGTTTGTACAGAAACCAGTGTATCCACTGTCAGGTAAATGAATGCGTCAACGGCAATAGACCAGTGTTATTCGGGTTAATCTGCATCCAAGCTTCTTTGTACAATCGGAAATTGCACGCTGGTAACTTATAATTAATCAGTCTCCTCTAAGAAAAGGGAGGCATCAGCACTATAATGTCAAGACACCTGTACATGGATTGTGGATGGGATCAGAAAGCCTTGCAAAGGTTAGAATTCACGTTAGACGAACATTGTTCCCTTATTGGACTATTGTTGACACACAATCTGCTTCGTTTTGGTTCAGATATCCTGCAATGCAATATCGCTGCTGCAAGCACATCAACTAAACCAGAGTCGTCGGATTCTTCAGATTCCCTGTTCAAACTTTCACACCTTAAATCTTTGGTTTCCCCATTGAGAGATTTACTGCATCTCTTCTTTCCATCTGATTCTAATCTAGAGGTAATGGCTGGTATTTGGCTTGGTGTTCCAGAGAAATGCTTTGGCTTCAACCTGACGGACACCGTCTTCAAAGTGCGCTCTGTGTAGAACATCATCCATGGATGGCCTGAAATACAT